TATCAGAGTGATTTCGTCAATGAATGTCATGAAACTATGTTTCCCTTCTACCTAGTTATAAATTAACCGATAAGCTTACATATAAATCATTAACTCTCTTATAGCGATAAAAATATCAGCAAGATATAACGAACTTTATTGTGTAATCGTGACAAATGCTAAAAAAACATCAGCCGTCAAATACTCGCAACAACATGGAGCGAATATGACTTTGCAGCGCCATCTGTTGTCTGAACAGTGAAATCTAACATGCCATAATAACCCAAGACAACTCTCGGGATTTCTGGCGCTACTATAAATGTTTTTCATGGGATTTATAATTCACGCAATACGTGTGTAAATAAATGGAAAATTGTTATTAATAGAATTAATGAAATATGATAACAGGAAACCGACTAAATGTCTTTATTTGAGATTCTACGTTAACTAGCTGCACAGGTCTCAGTATTCCACGCTATGTTCCCGATTGGTCAATAAATACCACCTTCGTGTCAGTATTGGTTACAACTACCACTTGCACCACGACCACACCACCACAATCATCATCACCACCACCATCATCATCATCACCATCACCACCACCATCGCCACTGCCACCCTCACTACCTGCAGCAACAGAAGCAGCAGCAGCAGCAGCAGCAGCAGCAGCAGCAGCAGCAGCATCACCTGACATATATTTCAGACACAGTCAGTTTTTTTACTGATAATATATAAATAGAGAATTTAACAATGCATTTCAATATACATTATATTTCTTATTATTATATACCATGTGCTTATGCTTATGATCCGTGTGGTATAAAATTATAATAAGAAATAAATAAATAAGAATAAAGAGAGGGAAAATATACCGGTGTAAAACAATTCAATTTCAACTCTCTTTCAGACACGCACACACACGCACACGCACTCCAACACATTTATTTAGTTACTATTATTGTAAATCAACACGCTGTATAAATATTAATAAATTGCAATTGGCCGAGTATTCTATGTATAATATATATATATATATATGTATATATATATATATAAATATGTATATATATATATAT